AGGTCATAAATCTTAAAGGAATAATCTTAGATTTCCCTTGGGAGGAATAGTCAGTAAAAGATTGGTCCCCAACTCCTCCACATTGGTCCCTAACTCCTCCACATCCTTAAATGACCTTTGTGGTTGATGTTAAACTCTTTACAACCAACCCTATACTAATTCCTTTGGATCAACTTGGCACAGGGATGCTTTACCAAATTTAATGAAAAATCCCACCAGTCAGTTTGGACTAGTGGTACATCTTTCTCTTGACAAAACAATGGAACACATCCAATGATAAGCTACCCAGAAGCTATAGATTCATGAAATTATGTTCAGTTGTTCAGGTGGTTTTGGTCTGAACAAGCATCACAACAGTTTAAACTTCACCACCTTAAATGACCTTGACCTTTTACACAATGACTCTGGCATTGTGACATACTTATCAGTGCCAAATCCATGAATAAAGTTTAAAAAACCCAAAACAATCAGGTTGGCAGAAGATGATATATACCATAGAAAATCACTTTACCTTTGATCCTTGCCGTGACCTTTGACCCTTGGGTTACAGACCGAGTGATTTGATTATGACACACCATCCAGTAAAGACATCATCCATCTATTTCGTTACAGGAAATTTTTGTCCCAGTTTCACTTTCACTTTTCTTGACCTCTGTTATGAGGACGAGACTTACACGACAGTAAATATTATATTACACAGAGGAAATATATGTGAATGGCGAAAATTAACATAAACACGGAGCAAATATGAATTTTACCAACAAAAGGTTACTGTAAATGTTTGACAGGGCAGAAGATTCTCAGTTTATAGTATTTACAGCCATTCACAAGGTCTAACCAGGAATGAGATGGTCAGACAGACATGTTGCAATCCTTAAGTCCCCCTGGTGACATTAGTGTGGGACTGATAGAGAACATTTACAGCCACTCACAAGGTCTAACCAGGAATGAGATGGTCAGACAGACATGTTGCAATCCTTAAGTCCCCCTGGTGACATTAGTGTGGGACTGATAGAGAACATTTACAGCCACTCACAAGGTCTAACCAGGAATGAGATGGTCAGACAGACATGTTGCAATCCTTAAGTCCCCCTGGTGACATTAGTGTGGGACTGATAGAGAACATTTACAGCCACTCACAAGGTCTAACCAGGAATGAGATGGTCAGACAGACATGTTGCAATCCTTAAGTCCCCCTGGTGACATTAGTGTGGGACTGATAGAGAACATTTACAGCCACTCACAAGGTCTAACCAGGAATGAGATGGTCAGACAGACATGTTGCAATCCTTAAGTCCCCCTGGTGACATTAGTGTGGGACTGATAGAGAACATTTACAGCCACTCACAAGGTCTAACCAGGAATGAGATGGTCAGACAGACATGTTGCAATCCTTAAGTCCCCCTGGTGACATTAGTGTGGGACTGATAGAGAACATTTACAGCCACTCACAAGGTCTAACCAGGAATGAGATGGTCAGACAGACATGTTGCAATCCTTAAGTCCCCCTGGTGACATTAGTGTGGGACTGATAGAGAACATTTACAGCCACTCACAAGGTCTAACCAGGAATGAGATGGTCAGACAGACATGTTGCAATCCTTAAGTCCCCCTGGTGACATTAGTGTGGGACTGATAGAGAACATTTACAGCCACTCACAAGGTCTAACCAGGAATGAGATGGTCAGACAGACATGTTGCAATCCTTAAGTCCCCCTGGTGACATTAGTGTGGGACTGATAGAGAACATTTACAGCCACTCACAAGGTCTAACCAGGAATGAGATGGTCAGACAGACATGTTGCAATCCTTAAGTCCCCCTGGTGACATTAGTGTGGGACTGATAGAGAACATTTACAGCCACTCACAAGGTCTAACCAGGAATGAGATGGTCAGACAGACATGTTGCAATCCTTAAGTCCCCCTGGTGACATTAGTGTGGGACTGATAGAGAACATTTACAGCCACTCACAAGGTCTAACCAGGAATGAGATGGTCAGACAGACATGTTGCAATCCTTAAGTCCCCCTGGTGACATTAGTGTGGGACTGATAGAGAACATTTACAGCCACTCACAAGGTCTAACCAGGAATGAGATGGTCAGACAGACATGTTGCAATCCTTAAGTCCCCCTGGTGACATTAGTGTGGGACTGATAGAGAACATTTACAGCCACTCACAAGGTCTAACCAGGAATGAGATGGTCAGACAGACATGTTGCAATCCTTAAGTCCCCCTGGTGACATTAGTGTGGGACTGATAGAGAACATTTACAGCCACTCACAAGGTCTAACCAGGAATGAGATGGTCAGACAGACATGTTGCAATCCTTAAGTCCCCCTGGTGACATTAGTGTGGGACTGATAGAGAACATTTACAGCCACTCACAAGGTCTAACCAGGAATGAGATGGTCAGACAGACATGTTGCAATCCTTAAGTCCCCCTGGTGACATTAGTGTGGGACTGATAGAGAACATTTACAGCCACTCACAAGGTCTAACCAGGAATGAGATGGTCAGACAGACATGTTGCAATCCTTAAGTCCCCCTGGTGACATTAGTGTGGGACTGATAGAGAACATTTACAGCCACTCACAAGGTCTAACCAGGAATGAGATGGTCAGACAGACATGTTGCAATCCTTAAGTCCCCCTGGTGACATTAGTGTGGGACTGATAGAGAACATTTACAGCCACTCACAAGGTCTAACCAGGAATGAGATGGTCAGACAGACATGTTGCAATCCTTAAGTCCCCCTGGTGACATTAGTGTGGGACTGATAGAGAACATTTACAGCCATTCACAAGGTCTAACCAGGAATGAGATGGTCAGACAGACATGTTGCAATCCTTAAGTCCCCCTGGTGACATTAGTGTGGGACTGATAGAGAACATTTACAGCCATTCACAAGGTCTAACCAGGAATGAGATGGTCAGACGGACATGTTGCAATCCTTAAGTCCCCCTGGTGACATTAGTGTGGGACTGATAGAAAACATTTACAGCCATTCACAAGGTCTAACCAGGAATGAGATGGTCAGACGGACATGTTGCAATCCTTAAGTCCCCCTGGTGACATTAGTGTGGGACTGATAGAAAACATTTACAGCCATTCACAAGGTCTAACCAGGAATGAGATGGTCAGACAGACATGTTGCAATCCTTAAGTCCCCCTGGTGACATTAGTATGGGACTAATAGGAGAACATTTACAGCGATTCTTCGCACTGTGTAATACTGTAGTGGAAATAGACCGGGTCAACCAGGTAGCCCAAATGTGGAGTGTCTGTCTAGAGTTTGGAAGTTTTCGGGTTCAAACCCGTCTGGCCATGCCCGCTTTCCTCTCCTGTTCCAATACAAACATGTGAACACTCCTGCTGATAGAAATGAAATTCTAAATTCTGACACAAAAATTAACACAGTTCAATCTTATGTTTTCATTTATTTTGTTATGTTGCAAACCTTTATCACAAACTGATGAGAAGAGTACAATTTCTCTTGATATACTAACATATTAAATCAATAGTAGTAGGCAACTACAAAACATACACATTCATCACACACGCCAGTCACAAGTCCGACCTCGTATTACACACATGTTACACAACATATACAACAAATCTTCTGGTTTTCAGAACTATAGCATGGTGTATATGTTTCAGGAGACATACCAAACTCTTAATTAATTTGACTGATGGTTGGTTTTCCATATATATACAATGGAATCTTATCAATCCAATTGCTTTTCCTTCCAGAGAAGCATTTTTTCAACCACAGAGATGGAAAGATTGCTTGAAAGTGTTACTTCTTGATGACTTTCCTTTATTAATGGAGTCCAAATTAACAAGGTTTTGGATTCACAAGGTTCTGAATAAACAAGGTTCTTTTATTATCTATTATTACAGGTCAATTTACAATTTCAAATTTTTGTTAAGATTATCTATACAGCAAAAACAATTGTTTTCTTAGATACCTGGTATATAACGGATTCCGACAAGTATCAAGGTATCAATGATGTTACCATAGATACCAAGTATCAAGGTCTATCACTGTTACCATAGATACCAAGTAGCAGGCTCTATCATTGTTACCATAGATACCAAGTATCAGGATCTATTACTGTGTTACCATGGATACCAAGTATCAGGGTCTATTGCTGTTACCATAGATACCAAGTATCAGGGTATATTTCTGTTACCATAGATACCAAGTATCGGGATCCATCACTGTTACCATAGATACCAAGTATCGGGGTCTATCACTGTTACCATAGATACGAAGTATCAGGGTCTATTACTGTTACCACAGATACCAAGTATCGGGGTCTATTACTGTTACCATAGATACCAAGTATCAGGATCTATCATTTTTACCATAGATACCAAGTATCAGGGTCTATCATTGTTACCATAGATACCAAGTATCAGGGTCCATCACTGTTACCATAGATACCAAGTATCATGATCTATTACTGTGTTACCATGGATACCAAGTATCAGGGTCTATTACTGTTTTCATAGATACCAAGTATCAGGGTCTATTACTGTTACCATAGATACCAAGTATCAGGGTCTATCACTGTTACCACAGATACCAACTATCGGGGTCTATTACTGTTACCATAGATACCAAGTATCAGTGTCTATTACTGTTACCATAGATACCAAGTATCAGTGTCTATTACTGTTACCATAGATACCATGTATCAGGGTCTATCACTGTTACCACAGATACCAACTATCGGGGTCTATTACTGTTACCATAGATACCAAGAATCAGGGTCTATCACTGTTACCATAGATGCCAAGGATCAGGGTCTATTACTGTTACCATAGATACCAAGTACCAGGGTCTATTACTGTGTTACCATAGATACCAAGTATCAGGGTCTATCATTGTTACCATAGATACCAAGTATCAGGGTCTATCACTGTTACCACAGATACCAAGTACCGGCGTCTATTCCTGTCACCATAGATACCAAGTATCAGGGTCTATCACTGTTACCATAGATACCAAGCATCATGATCTATCACTGTGTTACCATGGATACCAAGTATCAGGGTCTATCACTGTTACCATAGATACCAAGTATCAGGGACTATCACTGTTACCATAGATACCAAGTATCAGGGTCTATCGCTGTTACCACAGATACCAAGTATCGGGGTCTATTAATGTTACCATAGATACCAAGTATCAGGGTCTATCATTGTTACCATAGATACCAAGTATCAGGGTCTATCGCTGTTACCACAGATACCAAGTATCGGGGTCTATTAATGTTACCATAGATACCAAGTATCAGGGTCTATCACTGTTACCATATATACCAAGTATCAGGGTCTATCACTGTTACCATATATACCAAGTATCAGGGTCTATCACTGTTACCATATATACCAAGTATCAGGGTCTATCACTGTTACCATAGATACCAAGTATCATGATCTATTACTGTGTTACCATAGATACCAAGTATCAGGGTCTACTACTGTTTCCATAGATACCAAGTATCAGGGTCTATTACTGTTTCCATAGATACCAAGTATCAGGGTCGATTACTGTGACCATAGATACCAAGTATCAGGGTCTATCACTGTTACCATATATACCAAGTATCAGGGTCTATCACTGTTACCATATATACCAAGTATCAGGGTCTATCACTGTTACCATAGATACCAAGTATCAGGGACTATCATTGTTACCATAGATACCAAGTATCAGGGTCCATCACTGTTACCATAGATACCAAGTATCATGATCTATTACTGTGTTACCATGGATACCAAGTATCAGGGTCTATTACTGTTTTCATAGATTCCAAGTATCAGGGTCTATTACTGTTACCATAGATACCAAGTATCAGGGTCTATTTCTGTTTCCATAGATACCAAGTATCAGGGTCTATTACTGTGTTACCATAGATACCAAGTATCAGGGTCTATCACTGTTACCATAGATACCAAGCATCATGATCTATCACTGTGTTACCATGGATACCAAGTATCAGGGTCTATCACTGTTACCATATATACCAAGTATCAGGGTCTATCACTGTTACCATAGATACCAAGTATCGAGGTCTATCACTGTTACCATAGATACCAAGTGTCTGAGCTCTCTGTATTACCTATTACCAAGCATCAGGGTCTTTTTCCATGTTGCCACAGTTACTAAGTATCAGGGCATTTGATGATGTTACCATTGACATTTCGATTCTATGGAAATACACTATTGCAGCTCTATCCAATGTTACCACGGATATCAACTGTTGGGTCCCTTATACCAACCATATTTTGCCATCTCCAATTTTCAAGTTCCCATGAAAATTACCTATACATGTATAGGTACCAATGGCCCTTCCCATCTCCTACATTACCTATCCTATTCAGTCATATACATGTATCAAATACATTTGAAATCGAAGGCAGTAAAATAACATTAAATACCAAATGTCACTGTTGTTGCAATGCTACCAACTATAACCATGGTGATCATAGATATATAAAGTGAAGCAACCAGAAACTGACAATTAGGTGACATTTTATACGGCATACAGTTAACCTGTATAGGTCTACATTACTAACAGTGAACAATCTTTGGAATTAAAGTGTTTTCATTAGAACACTGAATCAAATAGCATGATGTAATCTGGAGAACAATTAATATATTACACAGACAAATATAACATGTATCGTACACAAAACAACGTCACACCAACAGCTAATAGTACAAGTGAAAACAATTTTAAATATTCTGGAGTAGAGGTGGCATCTACAATTGACATTTGTACGGAGTCCACCACAGGTAAACTCTGTTTGGATTATTGCTAACAATTTTACAGCAATAAGACTGGTGTGAATCACCGCTACTTTATATCACCATGGCAACCTCTCGCACACAGTCACACACCTACAAGCACACTCCCACAGCCTGATTTATATTACTTCCCATGGTCATCTTACGCACTAGCACACACACAGTCAAACAGACTGGTAAACACTACCAGCCATTACTAAAACATCTTTCAATTAAATATTAGAAGAAGGGGGAAAATGAACTGTTATACACAATGACCTTTATATTGAATTTGTTGAAAAAAGTGCATGAAATATTCTAAAGGTGAATAAAGATCACTTTAAAGTGGGATAATAATGGGAAGGTACGAATAAGAATCACCCACTTACTACATGTAGTATGCTAGAACTAAATGTTCACCATTTTCACAGCATTATCTAACATATCAACCAATCAGAATCCACATACAGCAATGAGTCCTGATTGGCTACAGCCAACAGGTCAAAGTTTAAAGGCTTGATACGATTCCTGATTGGCTAGTCAAAAGGTCAAAGATTAAAAGCTCGAGTTAATGTGGAAGTTTCTGGGGTTTTGTTTTTACCACATGTCTAAGAAGATGAATACCACTGCACAATTTGCATTTTACAAATATTACTAGAACTATTTACATAGGAAGCACAGGGTCCTGTTACGTTTATTACCAGCCCATATATTATGGACAAATACACCATCATTTGGTGAGCTTTATTTTTTTGAAGCTGACATTAAGGTCCCAATAACTTCTTATCAAACATAACAGGCACCTGTAAGTTTAAGCTAAAAGTTGTATTTCCTTTATATACATTTACATACAAATAACATTTTATCAGGAATGTCCAATCTACCGTATTAATACCTATATATAGGAGCGCTTTAAACATGAATAAATGGCATTCCTACAGGTGAAGTCTCATGCATAACATTAATAACTCCTTCAATAAATTTAACCCCGTCCCACCTTAATTCAGCCATATCCATTTCCTGCTGAAGTCGCTGGATGATTGGGATAATTACAAACAGGGGAAAAATTGTAGCTGAAAAACACTGACCTGATAGTGGGACGACCAGTTTGGTAATTTAGTTATGACTGGATTAACGATGCCTGCATTCTATGTTTTATGTCGCTGAAGTTTACAAGCCTTGTTTCCAATTCAATATATAATTCAAATCTATAAGATGGGGAGATTTGTTAATTTTTATCATAAATAACTACATATTTAACTCTACAACATTAGCTTTAAGAATTAAATGAGAAAAGTATTGCAAAGGGCATGAAAAACATCTGATTGATTGCTTGGTATTGTTTTCTCCTGAATATCTCAGGTTTAGAATCAAGATTGTGACCTGATCCGTTGAAGAAGAAGCTTTGTGTATGATGACTATGTCCCATGTTGACAGAGACAAGTGTAACCCCTGTCATGACTTCTGTCTAGAATAGTTCAAAATATGAGAATCTTATTACAAGTTATAATAATTATAAAAGACTTTATTTCAGGGCGATAACAAGTTGATCGACAGTAAAATGTACAATATTTACAACAGTGTGGTAAAGAGAAATCTAAGACAGGAGTTGAAATTTCTCCATCCCACAGCTACTTGTATAATCACTCTAGTTTTTCTCACATCGCTACATAACTACACTATTACCCTAAAAGTACTTCTGTCTCTCTGTGTCTTGTCTGTATGGGACATAACAGTACTGTGTCTCTCTGTATGTAAGATCTCAACACTAAATTATCCAAATCCATGGCAAGACAAATCTCAAACGGGGTAAAAGTCAGGATTACTCTAGATCGGACGCAGATGTGAGAACAAAATATATACCATCTTCACAGGTGTAAAAACAAATAAATTTTCTTTTGAAAAACAATTTTAAATTGGATTGCCCTGACATTAACAAAGAGATGCATTAATTTTCTCAAATCTTTTCTATACAGTGTATGTATATTCATTTGTAATACTCCCACCTTAACAACTTTACAGTAATAATTTGACGTATAATACACTAACACCAAGTATTGTGGCAATACGTCATACATGCATTCTCACCAAAGCCTTTATCTAGCTTTCAACATGTAAACCTTCATACAGAAATACAATAAAGACACACGCAAACATCCCTTGTATACTTCAAAGAGCTGCTCATGCCATCTACAGGTTAAGTGAGAATATATTTCATCCTCCCAGCACGTTATTGGCTGATAAAACGACAGGATGTATGATGACAAAACCTGCAACGTTTAGGTCAGTTTTATCCTCTCCCTTGCCTGCCCCCAGCAACACCTACCCATGCACACAGAGACATAAGAGCTATTGAAATAAAAACCTTAACGTAAAACTTACACCACAGACAAATGTGTTAACATGGGGCAAATGTGTAGCAGGTAATTTTTGCCTTTCATTATCAGCTTCAGCAGCTACATTTTTTTTTAAAAGAAGCTGGCACATATGTATATTGAACAAAATTATATAAATTATACAGGAACTTATTATTCAGTGCCATATACATCTATTGCACGGCCACATAATAACACATGTTGAAGGACTTTGTACAGGTATTTCTAGCATGTATACCCTCAAAAAGAATGAATGACAGGAATATCGTCAACTAGCTAGCATACTTACATATGAATGAATTACCTTTTTTTTTGTCACATTTATTCTGGGAACATTTGCAAATGAATTTTATGAACATGACTTCTTGTCAGCCTCGCTCTAAATACCAGTACCCTCAAACGACTCACACCGAGAGGCAAGGTTATCTGAAATTTGCCGAAATAGGGACAGATCGTAAATTCATCAAAGGTTCAAGGTTTTCAATAATGAATTATAAATGACAATGAAAAATTTAATATCAAAGATCGCGCAATTTGTTCTCATTTAAGAGATAATTAAAATTATAAGGTTCCCAAGATATTGTCATAAAATGGTTAAAATGTGAGAGAAAATTCAAATCTCAACCTACCAAAGTTAGAAGTTTACGGAATGTGGCCAAACATTTCATACACTTTATAATAATCTAATTTCCCGTAATTTTTCCACTGCATAGTCATAATGCACTAAAGCTTACATTCTAGATAAATGTTCCTGTGTAGACAGGCTGTAGCCTTAAAGCATAGAAATCAGTCCTGATGCTACTAAAATGTAACACTGTATTCGACACATTATAACTCTCCAGAGAGAACACACTATATGTACAGTCAACCTTTATTCAGAACAATCAGTGATGCCCTAGACCATTTCACATTGAATACAGGACTGTAACAATTGACTGGCAAATCCAAAATGCGAATGTCAGCTTTGATAACTCCAAATTATATATTACCATAATTACCGTAATAAGTGCCAACAGCAACTAGAATGGTATTTCATGTCATTAACAAAACTGCTGAAAATATACATTTTCTCTGTCAGAGTGAAAAAAAAGTGCACATGAAAAATTGGCTGAAGGGGCACTTATTATGAAAACAAAACATGTTGTGACAGTTGTGACATAACTGTCAAGAACATTGCCAGGGAGATTTTAAAATTGTTCTCATCATTTTTTTCTAAAACACTGGAAAATAGTCTTGTCAGATTGTGGGACTGTATTGTCTGCTAAAAATTGAATATAGTAACATATTTAGTTAGCAGGATGTTTGGGAAAGGGTGCACTTTCATTAATTCATGAAGTGCTGGAAAAAGGGGAGGGGCACTAATTACAGCTAATACGGTAAGATGGCAATCATGTGCGTGCAGTTCTGGGGATCACCACCTAATGCCACAGTCCTACTGTTGATGTGAAGGAATATCGATCAGTGAACATTTAGATTTATTATTAAATATGTATTGGAAAATGTGACTATCAAAAAAACAGAATATCTACAATTATTTTATAATAATATAATACATTTGTACAAACACTCACATATATTAACTTTAGCAAGCTGTGTTACCATAGCACTTCGTTTCATCTTACTCTTTGCTATCACATTCTGAGCAGCCATGATTGTGTTTTCATACAGACAACATACAGAAAAAAAATTCTTTCGTGTATGCATACAAAAGTAAATTCAATATTTTGTGGGCTCATTTCCACTGATTTTGCTAACAACAATGATCCCTGCCTAAACTTGTATCAAGAGGAAATCAAAAAACATTTTTTACTTCTTCAATGAAAACAAACCTTCTGTTAAACTTTATTTTGGTTTCTTTTAAACATCAATGCAATTAAAAAGAATAATCTTCACCATATGTTGTAAACATTAAGAAATTAAATGAATTTGATGGTACTACGTACAGGCTCCAGTTCCTCGAAATATTACTGTTACAGTGAAGGAACAATCAAGAAACTGCGGCCTGCTAGCACTAACTTTCACTTGGTCTTGTATCTGTACCAGTTAATCTGATGTCCGGGACTGACGTTACACAACTAGCGCTGACTAGGACCTCGCACTTCCAACCAATGTTTATAACCTCCCACTTGATAAAGTCAATAGGATTACCGCCCCTCTCCATGCCAGGTAATCATTTCACCGAAATGATAAGTGGTGGTTTTACTATTCATCCTTATATTTTAATTCTAATAAAGAAATTGTACTGCTGAATCTTAATCCTCACTGACCTCCATATCTCCCTGGCAACAGTTTTGTACAATATCTCGGAGGTGTAATTTCATTCAGACACATCCACTACCAACTGACCGTTATACATTGACATACAATGTAAATTGTGATAATTAAAAGGTTTTACTTCAATCTTCCATACAATGAAACTGAAAATCTTTGTATTGTTAACACAGACGTAATGTTTACTACATTTTTTGCCCAAAATCGAATATTTTTAAGCTTTAAAAAACTAAATTAAAAACGAAACAGATTTGGAGATTTTCTTTGATTTTGAAAGAAGGCTTTTCAGTAATACATTAAAATGAAATTTATGAGGCTTTCAATCATCAATACTTTTTGTACATTATTTTTATAGATTTTTTTTTTGGGACTATGGAGAAGCTATGATTTAAAACTTGATTAAACTGTCATATAAAATGACCGCTAGAGAGTGATCCCGTTTCTGTGGTAGGGCTAGCATGAGTCAGGTCCTTTCAGGCCTGGGTATGACAACTGACCAACGGTCAAACACTGGACATAACTGGTGAAGGATGAAACATGCCACAACACTATCTCAATGGCTACAGCCATACAAGGTCCTATACACAATGAGATGATTGGGCGTTGGCAAGGGCGTTATTCCTGTGGCGCGTCGGACCCTTTTTCGTCGCTCGCTACAGTCTGAGTTGTCGGCGTCATGCTTGGGGGAGGGTTACTTGACTTGTGTTGTAGGTAACCCATTGCACCTTTCCTTCCTTTGTCAGCTCGGCGGAATATTGTGATTTCCTGAAACATGAATTCAGTGTCAGTTTTAACTAAAACTATTCTGGTCGAAAAGAAAACACAACAACTTTCCTTTCATTTCTCTCCTTAAGATAAGTTCAGTTGGTTTTCTTTATGTAGGTTTTCTCTTAAATTATTTCCCAATTGTTTATTATATGTGTGTGGGATACGGATATTTTACCAGAATGGTGGTCAGAGGATTGTCATTGTCAGTCAAACAATGTTTTGACAGTTTAACGATTGTGAATTCATAAAAGCAAAGATCACCGCGTGCACCCATGTGGGATTATTAGACTCTTTCATGTCCAGGGGTGTAAGATAGAAAGCCTCGGGTTAAACCAAATTTAAAAACCCCTTGGGTGGAATTTAACTACCCTACACCCTTGGACAAGGAAGTGTATTTTTCTCTCATTCCAACGACAAGAATAAGCTCAGAAACCATGAAAATGTGTTTGGATTGGCTACCATTTTGCAAATATCAATTTTTATCAATAAAATGTTTGTGCAGAAAAAATAAAGTGTATGGTAAATATACCATAAAAGGTTTTAATTTCATCACGTTGCCTTTTCCGCATTGCTGCAACGGTGTTTTTCAAATTTGTGACGTCACGTCATTGTTGAACCATTGTGACTTAACGTCACGTGAAATGAGGTTCAAGATAGAAATTTCCTACACCCCTTTCTTACCCTGGACAGATCTTTTGTACATACACGGAAATGAGAGAATAAACATATCTCACAGGAGTGTTTCCTATGGGATTGGTAATTTATAACCTTAAGTAAAGGTAAGAGAACATTTTATTAGCAGTTTAAGTTTTTTAAATGCATAATAATGAAATAATAGCCCCACTACATGTATCACCTGTTGCTTGAAATACCGTCGCTCCTCCTCGTCTACCAAGACCAGGTTCAGGTAGTAACGAACAGAAAATTTCTTGTTGATGTCCCGCATAGTGGGTGTTGATTCGTACCCACTCAGGAACAGCCGGATTGGTATAGACTCCCCTGTAACACCAAACACAGTACACTGAACACAACAGTTAAAATAGTAAAATTAAACTTTACTTATCTTCCAATAATTACAAATTAAGTTCCATCCACTTATATTAATCACACTTGTTGGCCCAGATAGTAGCGCACAGGAAGTCTCAAAGTGGGAGGAATCCAGAGATCCCAGAGAAAACATATGTGGTAGGTGACCCCATACCTTTTCAAGTTCCATCAGGGAATCAAACCCTAGCTGTTCTGTTGGAAGGTGAGTGCGCTATTTACTGCACCACCCGACCACCCAATATCACAATGTATGTCACGGATTAAGTTTAATTAGTCCTAAGGCCTCTTTTATCATTTAGTTTTACAGTATTTGACTTACTTATATCAATGTACTTCTACTTTATCTAATACATTTAATTTATTTACTCTACATTAAAAAAAAAATCATTAAACTGACTATATCCTCAATTTGGCCATGACTTGATTGTCTAGAATTCATATGTAAGTAAAAAAAAAAAAAAAAAAGGCCCTACAAACTTATTCCCTCAATAGTTTCTGAGGGTGCAGACTAACTCCCTAAACAGTGCCCAAGGATGCAGACTAACTCCTTAAACAGTGCCCAAGGGTACAATCTAACTCCCTCACCAGTGCCCAAGGGTACAATCTAACTCCCTCAGCAGTGTCCAAGGATGCAGACTAACTCCCTCAACAGTGTCCAAGGGCGCAGACTAACTCCTTCAACAGTGGCCAAGGGTACAATCTAACTCCCTCACCAGAGTCCAAGGGTACAATCTAACTCCCTCATCGGAGTCCAAGGATGCAGACTTACTCCCTCAATAGTGTCCAAGGATGCAGACTAACTCCTTAAACAGTGCCCAAGGGTACAATCTAACTCCCTCAGCAGTGTCCAAGGATGCAGACTAACTCCCTCAACAGTGTCCAAGGGTGCAGACTAACTCCTTCAACAGTGGCCAAGGCTACAGACTAACTCCCTCACCAATTTCCATAACTTCATCATGGAAATGACTGAGCAAATCAAATCAGGTGATAAGATTATCTCAACTTCACCTCATCAGGAAGTAGATACTTATAATAAATCATGATACATCATCAAATGTCAACCTTATAAATTGAGGTGGAAAACACGAGGCAACCCAGGTCAGACATTTGATTATAGCTTACTCACCTTTCACTGGGGCTCCATCCATGATTTCATACTTGGCTATAGTTTCGTTTTCATTGTATGTATTTGGACCTGTCAGAAAACAACACATTTCTCTTAAAAAAACACAAGACAAAATGATCTTCAACTTCCTCAAAATCATGTAATGGACTTCAATTACTGGCAAAGAAATGAATGGAAATTCCCAAAGTAGTATTTTGAAACAATTGCTTTGAACAAGCACATTTAAGTGTACTTCAAATAATGATTACCAAGTGAAATATGCATTGAAATAATAGCTTGACAAAGGACCAGTCGGTCTTGGAACGTTGATAATGCATTGAAACATTTGGGAAAGAAATCGTCAACTTATCATGTAAGACGTGTATTTACTCAGCAATAAGAACAGAGAACACTTAAAAATGACACATGTTGAATTACTTTCAGACATAAAAACATCAATAATTTCTCAAAACAAATACATGTACTGGCGTATGGGTTGGTAGGAAGTAGCAGAAGAAGGGGAGAGGTGGGTTCCAGACCACTACTGTCGTTAGTGAAAACAAACTCCTCAGAATCTTATATTCAAATAACATTTCAGGGACCATAATTTCATTTTAGACTCCTAATTTGCAGTTTAAGGTAGAATCCCTCCATCCTGTGATGTATCTTCAACGAAAAAATTTCAAATTTGTTTGGCATTTTGCTGACATGGAGTTGCTAACCCATTTACTATGTAAAAAGTTATATATACAAAAATTATTCCAATGTCTGTAGGAAACTTGAGACTCTACTTTAATTGCCCTACTCCACTACACCTCCCTGCTAAAAATAGAAACATCTGGGTTCCTTCTGGCTATCACATCACAATATCAATTGCTCAAAGCCAACGTAACTTACATGTAAAAACCGATTTACCAAGAGGTACCTAATTTTCTCACAAGGTATCATTTAATAATACAATAATTGATGGTAGTTAAATTAAACTGCTTTCACAGGGGGAAAAAAACCCTCATGAGAAGAAAACACAAATCATTTATTAAGAAAAATCTCCTTTAAAACAATCTTGGTTAAGAAAACTTTGAAAAATGAAACTCTATTCCTCCTATAAAAATTGTTTTAAACAGAACACAGCTTCATTATTTGACTATAAAACAGAACAGAAGGTTACCTTCAGTTAAGAAACCTCCCCATCCCCTGTTCTCTTTCATCTTTCTATCATTGTTAAAGGATAAGAATAACTTTACAAGGCACAAGGACTGATTTGTAGAGGTATAGTCACAGGGGAAATAACTCTGTATTGACAGGGGAAATAAATCTGTATTTACAAGGGAAGTAACTTTGTACCTGTGCCAGTGCTTTCACGCTTGATAATCTGTATTTCCATGTGCTTGATTTTTATTCGAACTAGCAAGAAGTATATCTTTCCAACTATTACATCTTTTAAATGATACCTGAACAGGAAAAATGAAAAAAAAGGAAAAATCAAATTATATAAAATGTCACAAAAACACAAAATGAAACACAAAAAAGGAAAAAATCTGGTAGCAGTGAGCATCATGAAACTCAGATCTGAAAATGAAAATAATCGGAAGAGTGAAAAGCATATCAGACTATGTACAGGATGTTTCCAGGCCATGTTTGATATATAGATATAGTGAAAATAACGTCTCTGGATTTGTATGGAAATATCTTTGAAGTACAACGTATTTCATAAATGCATATCTGTACTTTTCTTTTCATATTTCATTTTTATCTCGTTTGAAAGTTGGAATATAATTTTTAGTATAACATATATGCATGTAGTTTCCACATTATATTCCAGGGGTGTACATTTTCACTTGCCAGGGCTGGTGAAAATTTTAGAGATTTACTAAGAAAATAGAGCTCTGGCTATTAGAATTTTGAAAAACATGCCTGCAAACTGGAATTCAAAATAGGGAACTGTATACACTAGTTTTGCATATATTCTCGGTTACATATGTAGGATTGGTTTATTTAGGACGATGGCCTGAAAAATTCCTGTATACAACACACCCTTACAACAATGAGATGGGAGCAGGCTGTTTACAATATAGATGTTAGGGGTAGGGACACAACAACAATTAGACACATTGAGCCTTCACATGTACTGGTAAGTGATTGGAATAACTGGACAATCGTTATTTAATCAAGAATTAAATACGGCACGGTTGATTTCTATTACCTTTTACACAGTAAGATTTTCACTTTTGTTCATTGACTAGTTGGCACTAAATGACGTAAATTGTTATTGGGCTGTAAAAGAAAATAATTGTCTTTTCTCTTTAATTTGCATCCAGACCATAAGCCCATTCCTACAGATATTATGTAATTACAGCAGTCCAGTATGAAGTCCTCTCACAGTGGATCCAGTACATATAAAACCATCTCCCCAGGCAATGAGGGCTCCTTGTAACAAGAATCAAGACCTGGGCATATATTCATGAAACCGTCCTCATTTTGAGCTCAAGCTTGGATTTTGTGCTCAAACAAGCTTTCTTGTAACTCTCTTAAATCACGTCAAACGATCAAAAGTCAATTGTAAACATTCAAAACAGTATTTGGCTTTTAAGTCTCTTCAATTTCCCCCCAAATCATTGGCAAATTAAGATTTATTTTAATAATTGATAACCAGAATACGAAATGAGGCTTGAGTACATAATCCATGCTTGAGCAAACGAGATTGGTTTCATGAATATGGACCCTAATTGTTGAGAAACCTGATAACCTGAAAACCTGATAACCTGATAACCATTTTTATTTTAATATTCTAAAATTTCTGTGTTATTTGTTTTAAGATTATTTTTTTAATCCCTTGACAGGTGGTTTTAGTTTGGAATTTCAATCATTTTGATCAAATACGAGACAAAGGGTTATCATCATCTTTACTAATCAGGCTTTGAACAACTTGGTCGAGACTGTTGTTTCATGTATAAATTGTCATATATCTACAACACCCCACAAAACCTTCAATCTGTGCATTGGTAGCTTAATGACACATTCAGGTAAATATTACAGATATTTATTTTTTATTTTTATGAATTTGAAAATTTACCTTACAGAACTGTTTACTTAATGTACCTAGGTATGAATTAATCCTGATTTCTCTAGTTAATACATTTTTAAAAGCCAATTAATTTTGATAGTTTAATTACAAGAAATATATCATCCACTTTTTTCTTAGTTTTTGGGCTAATTTTCCACCCATGTGGTGTATGCTCCCATAGTTACCCATAAACAGTACAAAGTATATATTCACTGATGTTGTTTATATAGGATTGTACTGTTGTATTTTATATATTTCAGTTTGACCACAATTTAACATTGTATTAACACTTTTGTAAGATAACACATTGTACAGTGTTAATTGAATGCTGTACATCTGTCTGGCCTAGCTTACGACTTATACCTGCTCCCGTTGTTTCTCTACGCACAATAGCCAGCTCCATGTAGCGGATTTTTATGCGAACCAAGAGAAAATAGATTTTTCCGACGATAACATCCTTCAAGTGGTACCTCCACGGCGCAGCAATAAAGATTAATTCATCAGTATACATCACAAACAAGTTACATCAAATGAAATACACACATATATATGGTCAATGCTGTAATCAAGGGCCATTAATGCTTCATATGAATTTTGCACTGTCAGTCTTGATAAAATTTGCAATATTTGAATCTACTTTCACTTTATCCATATATTTAATGTGAGGAGCAACTGAACATGAAATACAATATCATTAGCGCGATTTCAGAATTAACCAGATTAGATGGGGTGGGAGACACTTTTTTTATTGATAGGCCTTCACCACCCATTAAATATTAAATAAGGTGCCGTAAACCAGATCTTGTTTCAACCCTACCACCCCTAATATATGCCAAATAAGTGCCTCCCATCTCCCCCATTATGATTAATTATGAAATTGCCCTTACCACAAGTTACTCATAAGCATTGATCTCCAGATCAATATTTAATGTTTGTCTCTGGTCAAAATATTGACCTACTCTACATGACTGTGTGGAGAATTTACACCCTTTTAAGGAGAGGGCCTATATAAGCCCTCTCCTTAAAAGGGTGTTCTTATTTGATAAATAAGACAAACATTTTATTTGTAAAATTTGATGACAACTTACTTAGATTTGTTGTATTCAAATTCTATATGTAAACAGTCCTCGATTCCGACCTCCATCTTTATGCTGTTGTTCATCTCTGGGTACTGTGATAATGTGTGTACTATGATGTCTTGTTCCTTTACTGTATCGCTTAACCTCTTAACTATCGTTACTCGTAGAAAGTACCTACAACATTCAAAACAAATCTGTCATTTAAACTCTTAACTATTGTAACACGTAGAAAGTATCTACAACATTCAAAACAAATCTATGTCACTTTAACTCTTAACTATTGTAACACGTAGAAAGTACCTACAACATTCAAAACAAATCTATGTCACTTTAACTCTTAAGTATTAATACTCATAGAAAACACCTACAACATTAAAAAAAAGTGAAAAAGTCGGTAGAACCAACGTAAAATGAAACTGTGTCTTGTGAAAATTGACAAAAACAATTTGCATTATCTTCCATAATCTAAATACGGAGACACATTTTTCATATAAAAAGATTATTCTATCAAAAATTCTGCTTTACTTTTAAGATTGTTAACGCCAGACCTGACTGGATATTTCTGATGTGGATATATTTGATAAATTAATTTCTGACTCAAGACTGGCAGATTTTATAAGCTTTTATGTCTGCAAATTTCAAAGATCCAACCCCATACAACTGCAGTTCTATGTCCCAAGGTAGACCAAACTTACCGTAACCTTACATTAGCACCAGTGTAAGATTCGTATGGTTTTTCTACTTGTAAAAATTCAAAAGGGTAAGTTGTGCTGCTTGTCAGGTCACCCGGCCGCGCCAACTCCTTCACCAGGGATGTAAACTCATGGTGATTCCCTCGGTCATAATATAACTCTACAACAACACAACAAAATTTCAAAATTTCCTACTGGAAATGTCATTGTACAGCAAAATTAAAACAGTAATTCTTATGGGGACTGTTTGGGGCCGAATCAATCATGGGCCCCATTCCCAATTGAAACTATTTCATATTTATATGCATTATTCCCAAAATTTGCAGTTAACTCCTGAAAATTTCCTTCCCAGTTAGTATATTTTCTTCCCAAATTGAGACAAAAAGGCCTCATCTCAAATTAACAAACAAACAAAAAGACCCTGTAAAAGCATGTTTGTAGAGTAGATCATTTTTTCTCGACATTGCAACATGAGGACACAATGACATAATTTTGTTGTTGATTTTAATTCATTCCCCCCTGAAATTTCATAATGAACTATACCAACCTTTGAATTGGAAGAGTCCAAATGTGTCTTCAGGGGTGAATGAGTTAATGATAAATAGTTTAATGCCTAAACATAACTGCATTAATTTATTGTTCAATTCAGGAAGTAAATGAATAATTCTTACCTATCTGACCAATAAACTCTATTTTGATCCCCTGATGCTCCAACTTGCTTCCAGTTTTTTTTAGGGTAACATTAACCTGTAACAAGACCACACTGTACAAGTTAATCAAACGTTGGTGTTAATCTTAACCCTTTCATCCCTATGTAACAGTAGTAGACTCTACCATGCATTGATCTGGAAGTGTCCATTACCTAGTATAGTCTACTGTGGTGAAAGGGTTAATGACAATTCAAATTTATAACTACGGCATAAAACTGTCAATGATAGCCATTTAATACCTCTTTTACATCAAACAGTTTTAATAAAGAATTTCGAAAGTTCAAGTGTTCTCAAAATTTCTGTCACCATTTCTTCATACTTCATTGAATTGCAAGACAGTGGTGAGATTGCTTCGGAAATCATCACTTACCTTACCAGAAACCGTCTCTCCATCACTTACCTTACCAGATACCGTCTCTCCATCACTTACCTTACCAGAAACCGTCTCTCCAACACTTACCTTACCAGATACCGTCTCTACATCACTTACCTTACCAGATACCGTCTCTCCATCACTTACCTTACCAGATACCGTCTCTCCATCACATACCTTACCAGATACTGTCTCTCCATCACTTACCTTTCCAGATACCGTCTCTCAATCACTTACCTTACCAGATACCGTCTCTCCATCACTGTCACTTACCTTGCCAGAAACCGTCTCTCCATCACTTACCTTACCAGATACCGGCTCTCCATCACTTACCTTACCAGATACTGTCTCTCCATCACTACCAGATACCGTCTCTCCATCACTTACCTTACAAGATACCATCTCTCCATCACTTACCTTACCAGATACCGTCTCTCTATCACTTACCTTACCAGATACCGTCTCTCCATCACATACCTTACCAGATACTGTCTCTCCATCACTTACCTTACCAGATACTGTCTCTCCATCACTTACCTTTCCAGATACCGTCTCTCAATCACTTACCTTACCAGATACCGTCTCTCCATCTCTCTCCATCACTTACCTTACCAGATACCGTCTCTCGATCACTTACCTTACCAGATACCGTATCTCCGTCACTTACCTTACCAGATACCGTCTCTCCATCACTTACCTTACCGGATACCGTCTCTCCATCACTTACCTTACCAGATACTGCCTCTCCATCACTTACCTTACCAGATACCGTCTCTCGATCACTTACCTTACCAGATACCGTATCTCCGTCACTTACCTTACCAGATACCGTCTCTCCATCACTCACCTTACCAGATACCGTCTCTCCATCACTTATCTTACCAGATACCATCCCTCCATCACTTACCTTACCAGATACCGTCACTCCATCACTTAACTTACCAGATACCGTCACTCCATCACTTAACTGACCAGATACCGTCTCTCCATCACTTACCTTACCGGATACCGTCTCTCCATCACTTACCTTACCAGATACCGGCTCTCAATCACTTTCCTTACCAGATACTGTCTCTTACCTTACCAGAAACCGTCACTCCATCACTTACCTTACCAGAAACCGTCTCTCCAACACTTACCTTACCAGATACCGTCTCTCCATCACTTCCCTTCCCAGATACCGTCTCTCCATCACTTACCTTACCATATACCGTCCCTCCATCACTTATAATTACCTTACCAGATACCGTCCCTCCATCACTTACCTTACCAGAAACCGTCACTCCATCAAGATACCGTCTCTCCATCACTTACCTTACCAGATACCGGCTCTCAATCACTTTCCTTACCAGATACTGTCTCTTACCTTACCAGAAACCGTCACTCCATCACTTACCTTACCAGATGCCGTCTCTCCATCACTTACCTTACCAGATACCGGCTCTCCATCACTTACCTTACCAGATACTGTCTCTCCATCACTACCAGATACCGTCTCTACATCACTTACCTTACCAGATACCGTCTCTCCATAACTTATCTTACCAGATACTGTCTCTCCATCACTTATAATAACATTACCAGATACCGTCTCTCCATCACTTATAATTATCTTACCAGATACCGTCTCTCCATCACTTACCTTACCATATACCGTCCCTCCATCACTTATAATTACCTTACCAGATACCGTCCCTCCATCACTTACCTTACCAGAAACCGTCACTCCATCACTTACCTTACCAGATACCGTCTCTCGATCACTTACCTTACCAGATACCGTATCTCCGTCACTTACCTTACCAGATACCGTCTCTCCATCACTGTCACTTACCTTGCCAGAAACCGTCTCTCCATCACTTACCTTACCAGATACCATCTCTCCATCACTTACCTTACCAGAAACCGTCTCTCCATCCCTTACCTTACCAGATACCGTCTCTCCATCACTTATCTAACCAGATACTGTCTCTCCATCACTTATAATAACCTTACCAGATACCGCCTCTCCATCACTTATAATTACCTTACCAGATACCGTCTCTCCATCACTTATAATTATCTTACCAGATACCGTCTCTCCATCACTTACCTTATCAGATACCGTCTCTCCATCACTTATCTTACCAGATACCGTCACTCCATCACTTAACTTACCAGATACCGTCACTCCATCACTTAACTGACCAGATACCGTCTCTCCATCACTTACCTTACCGGATACCGTCTCTCCATCACTTACCTTACCAGATACCTTCTCTCCATCACTTATCTTACCAGATACCATCTCTCCATCACTTCCCTTACCAGATACCGTCTCTCCATCACTTTCCTTACCAGATACCGTCTCTCCATCACTTATAATTATCTTACCAGATACCGTCTCTCCATCACTTACCTTATCAGATACCGTCTCTCCATCACTTATCTTACCAGATACCGTCACTCCATCACTTAACTTACCAGATACCGTCACTCCATCACTTAACTGACCAGATACCGTCTCTCCATCACTTACCTTACCATATACCGTCCCTCCATCACTTATAATTACCTTACCAGATACCGTCTCTCCATCACTTATCTTACCAGATACTGTCTCTCCATCACTTATAATAACCTTACCAGATACCGTCTCTCCATCACTTATAATTACCTTACCAGATACCGTCTCTCAATCACTTTCCTTACCAGATACTGTCTCTCAATCACTTACCTAACCAGATACCATCTCTCCATCACTTATCTTACCAGATATTGTCTCTCCATCACTTACCTTACCAGATACCGTCTCTCCATCACTTACCTTACCAGATAACGTCTCTCCATCACTTATCTTCCCAGATACTGTCTCTCCATCACTTATAATTACCTTACCAGATACCGCCTCTCCATCACTTATCTTACCAGATACTGTCTCTCTATCACTTATAATAACCTTACCCGATACCGTCTCTCCATCACTTACCTTACCAGATACTGTCTCTCCATCGTAATACAAGTAGTGTCTCTCTTTTTTACCATCTTCTGTTTTGATTTCTGCAGTTTTTCTCGATTCTTGACCGTCCAAGACGATATCGATGTCGGCACTCTGGCCAAATCCAAAGAAACTCTGAAACATATGGGCTTATGTTAGGAAATTTCTCACAGCTTCATAAAGCATCAGACTTACTAAACTACACAATTAACAGTCTAATTACATTAAATCAATTTAAAAACCTAAGTTATTACTGGTAGTATATTCTGTTAATGTTGTTTGACTACATCTTGATTTAATCTTATCATGGAAAATCTACATTCCAACTCATCTACATAACTTAAACTTTTAAATCTACAAGATTTTCAAAGAAACAAAAATCACTAAGAAAATTGATAAATTAATTCATGTATGTATCTACGTATACAAAGACAGTCAAGGGAGGTAAGTCATGTTGTTGGGAAGACAACTGTATAATCATCATCATCATCTTCCATTAAGTGACAGATCTCCTTGATGGAGTGCAATTGTCACTGCAAAATAATGAATGCAGTTTTTAACATACATGCACATTGATATCAGCCACACCAGGTGGCTGTTTCATTTTTCTGCAGTCCAAACAACCACCATGCTTTAATTCAAAATACAGTAGATTCCTCTTAATATCACTTCCCATTTGTCAGAGAAAAACATGATATTAACCGAAACATGACATAAACAGAATACATATTTCCTGATGTTTTTCAACCCTCAAAACCGGAAGTGAACTTAGTCAAATGCCTAAGTGATGTGGCTCTATGAAGAAGATTGATATTTTGTAACTAACCTTGTTCTTTACCCTAGTTGAAATATAGATATAAGTATAGAAATAAATTTATTATTTGTATTTCATTTCAGTACGCAGTTACATTTCATATTGTTAAGTAGCAAAATGACGATCAGTACGATTGTAATTATGATTGTTTACTGCAGTAGTGATGTAGGCATACAAGTGTTTGGCTGGTTTTCTGCATCAAATTCAATTGTAAACATGAGACTTGGTAAATATTTACCTATATCTTGATATATATACTGTTCTTTCTCTAGTAACATCTTTTTATGGGTTAATTTCCTTAGATATTTGCTGCAAGTGTGTAATCGAAGATAGTTACACATGTTATAATTAGTTGAAAGAATACATCACACTTGGCATTAGAAAAGTTTACAGATGTTAGACTGCCCTAGCTCCCCAACCACAGGTGAATATCATGTTAACAAGTATGTAAGTCAACCTATTGTTTAACAGTCAGCCAGGTGTAACCTATTGTTTGACAGTCAGCCAGGTGTAAAAAATACCCTGTTAGGTCAAGGCATTGTTTACATAATGCGTCCAGGGTGTGAAAGAAGGTCCCCAGGGCATTTATGATGAATCATTACCACCATTTACCTGTATTTTTTTGTGGCAGTGGCCAAAATAAAGTGATATTAAGAGAAATCAACATAAAATCAGGTGATAATAAAAGAATTGAATTGCATAGATTATATAGCAGGAAAAACGGTGCATCAAAAAAACATGATAATAACCGAAAAGTGACATTAACAGACGTGATATTAGGTGAAATGTACTGTATAACCATTAGCTTAGCTTCCACACAAGAAAAGTTGTAGCATGTGCAAGTATAGATTGCTGTCTTGTTAAATATGTGTAATGTACCTTTGAAATTGATGTTCAACACAATTGTATAAAACTTTGACTGTTTACAGATGCAGTCTTGTGCTTAAAAAATATCACAAGCATTCTTATCTACTTTATTACATGCATTTTGTTCCCAGTAAATTTTCCGTAAGTTTTATTCCTTTGTAATACATGTACATCAGAAACAGAAATTTGTCATCATGAAAGAGCTAGAATTATTTCAATTTTTATCTAATGATATTTGAATAATTTTCTGTTCTGCAGTTTTCTAGAAATGACAATTCAAGTTAATCTCTTGATTTTTTTTCTATCTCTTGACAATTTAAATAAGAGAAAAACAATGTTAATGCAGTTAACAAAAACAATTTCCTTTGAATAATTCGTCACATCTTGAAAAGCACTCAACAAATTGACAATAAGATATTGTTAAAGAAAAATTCAGACAATTCTCTTTTATGATGCAAATTTTTGTTTCAAGAGCATTATAATTGTCTACAGGAAAATCAACGAAAAAGCAGAAATGCATGAAACATGAAGGGAAAAACACTTATGACCTTTATAATATGGCACATGTATGTATTTTACTCTCAATAACGAAAAAATCAAATATTAAATATATTATGTATGTCAGTTACAATGTAATGTACAGTATTCATGGTCACAAACTCACAGCTGTGTATAAATATTTAATATTAAGCATGTAAACCTTTAAACAGCACCAAGGATGATACAAGGAGTATACAATGCATATACATATATCAGTGACACAGAAACCTTGCAGCACACATGTACAGCAGTTCAACCAGGAAACCAACTATGATACACAGCACTAGTACTGTCCTAGACTCATCCAGACAGAACATTGGGGGCTGGCCTTATACATCACCATCTACACAGCACTAGTACTGTCCTAGACTCATCCTGACAGAACACTGAGGGCTGGCCTTACACATCACCATCTACACAGCACTAGTACTGGCCTAGACTCATCCAGACAGAACATCGGGGGCTGGCCTTACACATCACCATCTACACAGCACTAGTACTGTCCTAGACTCATCCTGACAGAACACTGAGGGCTGGCCTTACACATCACCATCTACACAGAACTAGTACTGTCCTTGACTCATCCAGACAGAACATTGGGGGCTGGCCTGACACATCACCATCTACACAGCACTAGTACTGTCCTAGACTCATCCTGACAGAACACTGAGGGCTGGCCTTACACATCCCCATCTACACAGCACTAGTACTGGCCTAGACTCATCCAGACAGAACACTGAGGGCTGGCCTTATACATCACCATCTACACAGCACTAGTACTGTCCTACACTCATCCAGACAGAACATTGGGGGCTGGCCTTATACATCTCCATCTACACAGCCCTAGTACTGTCCTAGACTCATCCAGACAGAACATCGGGGGCTAGCCTTACACATCACCATCTACACAGCACTAGTACTGGCCTAGACTCATCCAGACAGAACATCGGGGGCTAGCCTTACACATCACCATCTACACAACACTAGAACTGTCCTAGACTCATCCAGACAGAACATCGGGGGCTGGCCTTACACATCCCCATCTACACAGCACTAGTACTGGCCTAGACTCGTCCAGACAGAACATCGGGGGCTGGCCTTACACATCCCCATCTACACAGCACTAGTACTGGCCTAGACTCGTCCAGACAGAACATCGGGGGCTGGCCTTACACATCACCATCTACACAGCCCTAGTACTGTCCTAGACTCATCCAGACAGAACATCGGGGGCTAGCCTTACACATCACCATCTACACAGCACTAGTACTGGCCTAGACTCATCCAGACAGAACACTGAGGTCTGGCCTTAAACAACCCCATCTACACAGCACTAGTACTGTCCTAGACTCATCCAGACGGAACATTGGGGGCTGGCCTTACACATCACCATCTTCACAGCACTAGTACTGTCCTAGACTCATCCAGACAGAACATCGGGGGCTGGCCTTACACATCACCATCTACACAACACTAGTACTGTCCTAGACTCATCCAGACAGAACATTGGTGGCTGGCCTTACACATCACCATCTTCACAGCACTAGTACTGTCCTAGACTCATCCAGACAGAACACTGAGGGCTGGCCTTATACATCACCAATATTACTTTACCATCTTCACAGCTACCATTAATTTTAACACAACTGCATGATCATTATCTAGCTACAATCTAGCATGTTTTTTTAGAAATGGATATGAGCCAACACAGTCAAAGAGCTTAGATTGAAAATTATATAATCAGTTGAAAATATGAAGTTATTCAAAAAGGAAACCTTGATAGGTTTTCAGATTTATTTTAGAGCAGATTTAAAGAAAAAAGTAAAATGGAACTCAGGGAAGTCAGGTTATTTTTAAATCCTTTTATTTATTTGCAGAGTATTTTTATCACTTCTTCTGTTCAAATATTTTGTGCACTCTTTTGAATAAATCAATAAATCTATCTCATTCCAGTGTTAGCCAGAAACCTGTCAAAAATGTAAGCAGATTGAAACCCTCAATAGATTAGTAAATCAATATTAGGGACAGAAGAAGGTTACACATTTAAAATGCTCAGTTATAGTGGCATTCAGTTTGTGGGTTACACAAGTCTATTGCAGGATGATCAAGTGGTAAATTTCATGTAACAAAGTTCAGTGAGACATGACAGTTCAAGAGTTGATTTAGAGAAATATATTTATTCCACCTTTAAGTCAGATAAATGTATCTACCCAGGTTATGTTTAAGATAAACCTGTACCTATATATCATGAAAGTGATATCTGCATATACATACAGCATCTGATTACATGCTTTCTTTTCATATTTATAATTATACCAAGCCAGATTTGTACTGTAGCCAGCCCCAGCAGGTAGAACACACGTTTATAGGGAAAATAAAACATAGGAACAAGCAGTTTGTGAACACTTACAATCATGGTTTCAGATCTGTAAGAGATTATTTACAGAGTCTGAAAAGTATCTCAGACAGCTGACAATTGACCGATATAATTTAATCGTATTCACAGCCAGGGTTTACCTTTGGCATTTATAGAAAAAGGGAAAAAATGTAAATAAATAAATGTAGGTCTGGGGCTTCCTCAAACATATCCCTAAACCTGCCCCTAGAGAGGCCAACTCCTATATTTATGCAAAATGTATTCTCTGCGACCATGAATGCTCCAGAACATCTCTAAAGGTGTTCTGGACAAGTAGAATCTAGTCTTTAAAGGAAACGAAAAAATAAACAGAATATTAGAAATTTGATCAACAGACATCCAAACTTTCCACACGGAGGGAGCTGTTTTATTTATATAAACAAATAACTTAAGTAGGCCTTAGTATGAACAAATAATTGCAGTCACTACTTAATAAGGGTGTTTGAAGGTGTTTTTTTCAATTTTCTCCCCAGCCGGTATCTTATAATAAATGACCAGACCACAGGGTTGCGAGTCTTCTGGTTAATATAACGGGCGAGTGAGGTGAATTAATAATTGATAATCTACTGGGATTGGATTATGACCTTAATACAAAGCAATACATAGTACATCAGTTGTGTGGCAGATTGGTACAAGTGTCATTCAGTTCGCTTTTGAGTACTGTCACATGATGCTGCAGCAACAACCTCAAATAACCTCCCACTTACACGGGATTTTAAGTCAAACGACAGGGGTATCATAACATAGTTTGTGTCGTTGGAGACACATATATGCTTTACGCATTCATATGTTGAACCAACGCGATTATTCGTTTATATGACAGGGAGAACTGCGTTTATTTACCATCTTTGGGTCCCTCCTCCTTTTCGGCTAGTACATCAAATATGGCGTCGAGATCTCGCGGAAGTGACATTTCCATAAATTAAACAACAACACTTGTTTATGTTATTTGTGTAAATCCTCTGTTTAATTTATTTTTATATGTTATCAAATGGATGAAAACTAGTTTAAAAGTATTCTGATGTATTTCCATCTATTTTTTGATAATTATTTTTTAAGGTGCGTTCGATTAAAACGTTATTTTTAGACACTTGTGTGGTACTCATTTATTTGGCCGGAACGATTGGAACAGTAACGAAATCTCCTTAAACTGTTGACTGGATAATCCGATTCGCGCAGTGAACCTAGTGAATCAACAGACTAAGAGTGCCACATTTACAGTTTATTTATATATTATAGTCTTACCACATCACAGGCCAATTTAAACAGTATACCAAAACACGGATTTGGATACAAAACCAAGGAACATGAGAGACAGATGTTTTTTTTGTAAGGAGGATACACATATATTAAACAAATACGATTCTTAATTCCTCCTGTCTAAATGGCACATTTTTCTTGATTTGGACTACAGGAGGCAAGGACATTGTTTCAGATGAGACAGGGGCCAAAAACAAAGTACAGAAAGAAAATAGTGCATGAAGGGCAAAATTGACCATCCACCACCAGATGTAATGAGAACAGATAGGGCTAGCTAGTTCAATTCTTTCTCAGTGTTAGAGGGGATGTTATTTAGATAAAATCGAAGAATGTGGTTTGGATCATAAACAGACTTTTTTTTTTAGATCAACCAGAAACCTTATGGGTCCTACCAAGCTGTACAGGACTTGTCCAACAAGATCGGCGATTTCTATTTGAATACAATAACCATTATCCGACAAACTATTGATGTTGGTCACTCTATTGTGATGACTGCTGACATTAAACGCGATGTTGAACCCTTGGCACAGCTCGTAACAACAACCCAGGTCCAGTAACGCAAGGTCGTTACAAACTTGCAATCAAATACCTGTATGCTGAATTTGCTTGTCACATCTGGAGCATTGTTTTCTTGGTATACTACTTCCTTTTCTTAACCTTATAATCAACGCATGTATGCCATTAGCTGAAGCAACAGTTCCGTTTTATTAAACAATAAATGTAAGATCACTCTTGAAGAAACATGTAATGGACAAGAAGGAGTGTATCATTTCTATCTGAAATATCGGAGGAGATTGTGTCCTGTAGCGGCTAGTGGTTTATCTTCATGAAAATATTCTCCATGACATCTCGCAATAGGTCTACTGCACGGGATACTTTAACGAGCGATCATCCTACGTGTCTAGGGGACATTGCCACAACCCTTTGTATCCAGTGCAGAATGGTGCTTTCCGCTGAAACCATGGCTATGCTGGATCCATTCCTATTTGAGTGATGGCGGTTGTGTGTTGCCTTTGATCTATTATATATTTTCTCCAGACAATAAAATCCTTTACGTTTCGGATTTTCTCAGGGTTCAATGTTTTAACCAAGAAAATATTGCTTTTATTTATAACAGATCTGGATGATTTGTCGTCATAACCTTCGCTGTAATTGTTACGCTGGTTATCTTTGAGATATAGGCCGCAATACAAAATTTTGCTGTAAAAAATACAAGGCACTAAATGGACAACTCCTCACTATCGACAGGAGTTTGTCCCTACCTTCATCAGCCATCACATCCTCTGCAGTTGAAGTCAGAATCCTAGACTTACTATGTGTTCGAAAATATCATACGTTGACCACTTGATACTATTGTTTCCAATTACGGAATAGTTTTCAATCTGTAACCATAAAGTCGGAAACCCTCGAAAAAAATCAAGTAAAACGTTTTAAACTCGCCTTTCTTCTTCGGCTACATTTAATATCTTTAGTACAGACGTCTTAATTATAGATCCAGCGCGACCCTTTGTAAACACACGAAGCTCAACAAACTGTGTGATTTGTATGTTAATTGTAAAGTGGAGACGTTATATATAATATAATTTGGCATATTTTAACGTCATAAAATGATCCTGAAGCAACGTCATAGATTAACAAGCACTGCCAGAATATCATGACGTCAGAGCGGGAAAAAAGATATTGATATAAGCGTTATTCAATCGATTTTTTAATATTTTTTATTTGGTTTTTTTCATCTATACAGTGTACAATATACAAGTACAAACAATATGTTCTTATTACATAATTACTTACGCACACTTTCATTCTTGATATGCTTACCGGCATACATTTAAGTGATAGAACAGGAAGAGAGCAGACAGAACGGAAAGGAGAACAGAAAGAGAAGAAAGAGTTTTGAGAAATAAAAGGGAATCATATGCAGATCTGTATTTTTATTTGCACTGCAGGAACTTAATTAAACATGCAAAACATTACTAAAACATTCTAGTGTGTAACTGTTACTGTCAGATAACACATCAAAATCGAATCGATTTTTTTGTTATAAAGACTTAGAGAGAGATATTCCATTTCAGATGTTTTATGAAACACTATTTTAGTGAAATCAATAGTTCGCCAGAATTAAGCTAACTGAAATAAATCTAACTCCAAGACACATCCGTAATATAGGACGTACTGACTCAACGAGTACTCGGCCCCGAGTTATGCCCTGAAATCGTACAGATACAGGTCGAAGGGAAGTAACTCCTACTGAAATATGTGTTTTGAGTCGTGTGCAAAATGTTCGTTAGTTTCTGTGTATAATACACATGTTTGTTGGCGCCGACAGATCATACACCGGAAATTATCTTATTCTCACCTGGAAATCCGTCCAGACAGGTGTGTTACCGTGCAGGTAAGTGTTTTAAGTTACATTTCGTTCTTAAGATTTGTTGCTTGAATTTGTCAGTTTGTTTTCAGTTACACAAAACAGTCAAAAATATGCTGTCATCATTGTCTTCAAGCTGTTTTCCCGGTAACATGTTATGCTTGAAGGATAATATGTGACCATGTGTTTACATTACCATTTGATCTGTCTGCTGTATTAATAATCAGTGTTTAGTTTGATCGAGATTTGTCACGGCTATTAACACATTACCTTTTATGTACATATTAAACTGTTAGTTTAAAACTTAGTATGCATGCTTCTAGGGAAACGGTATGAATCATCGCGCTTAAAAGCGTTCATCAGCTGTTTGCATGAATGTTTATCAGCAGACGACCGCGAGAGATGGGCGATATAGGTAGACTTGACTTGTCAGAAGGGTGTTGTCTATAAATTATTATAATGAATGTATATTTCCTGCAGTAGGTGTTAGTTTACCTGAGAGTAAAATTCACAAGGGCTGGCCAACCTTTTAAGCCACAGGTTTGTTAATGTTACAGTAGAGATTTGTCAGATTGAGTGTTCAATTTACGTGCTTATCTTGCCACAGGCCTCCCTGGTATGTTGAGTGAATTCCTTTGGTTTTATGTTAGTGTATAAGCTTAATTGATATTTCTGATCTTAGATCATGGTTGTACAGTGGTCGATGACCTTATTGGTTTAACTAAATCGCATTCAGACTGACCAGGGTTTTTGTATTTTGGTATTATGTAAATTCATCATGCCATATACTTGCTAAAATAACAGACAGTTCTCTTAAACATGTGAAGGAATAATACTGACAGTCACACTCTGTGTTTTTTTCTCTTTTCAAAATGTGCATAATGGTCTATGTGGATAAATTTGCAAGTCAGATTGAAAATACAATGTTGTTTGTCCTTGACTAGAGACGTACAATTTTAAACTGGTTTAACACTTTTTTAAATGTTACCCTTATAAGTTGTCTGTCTAAATTGCTGTACATGCATAACACATTTATTGCATTCTTGTGCATTTTAAATGTTAATGCAAAATTTGAATTTAGCAGACAATTATATATTTTTATAAGTTTTTCATAATATCAATTAAGCCAATGACAATGTCTTTGATTTATTCCACCTTTAAAAATTATATATTGATGTTTTTCTTGTCTATAATTGAGGGGTAATCAGTCACGAGAAATCTAATTTGAGTGTGACCTAAATAAGTAATGAGTCAGCATTTTGTCTAACACCAATAATATTTAACTAATTCAATCATTATACAGCCCCCATTAATGTATGTTGTGTGTGTTGTGACCTAAGTTATTAAGTGATGTGATAAGTGTAATGGATAAGTCCTATATTTGTATATATATATATATATATAGGATTGTATAATTTATTAAATCAACCAACATTTTTTCAATCTGGAAACTGGTATACAACTATATATGCCAGACCTACCAGCAGATCCTTCTTATCGTGTAACCAACATATTCCATACAGTTTCCATAACTTATGCTATTTTCAGGTATTGCAAATGCATACTTTCCAACTTTTTGAAATTTCCATGGGGGAGGTTCTGCATGCTCAAAATTAAAACATTAATGTGTATATATCCGATAGAGACAAAATAGCCCTTTAAAAAGATATCTTTTGAGTTGATCTGTAAGAGGAGATCATTAGATCTGAGAATAAAGGTATAGTTTAGAAAACTCTCTGGCTGAAACTACCAATGTTAAGGGTACACAATCAGGAGTCTCTTTCCTAAATAGGAAGAATTGGCAAGTATGCAAATTCATCCCCGGCCCTCAGAGATTTTTTTTATAGTGGAAAATATGTATACAGAATATTGAGCAGAAATGTTGTTCAGTATAATAACACAATAAGGAAGGGAATACTTCATATCTTTCCAGTATAGTAGAAATTGGGGAAGGGAATACCCAATATCTTTTCTAGTTTACTAGTAGACAGTGGGGAAGGGAATACTCCATATCTTTTCCAGTAAAATAGACATTGGGGAAGGGAATATCCAATATATTTTCCAGTATGCTAGACATTGGGGAAGGGAATATCCAATATCTTTTCCAGTACACTAGACAAATTGGAATGGTCAATAAGGGAATGTCCAGATTGTTATCCAGAATATATCTACCAGACAATTGTACCAAAATTTATCTTTTGTATAGATTTGGCCCATTTCAGCTTGCATGCATTCTAAATTTCCCAATTGCTCTAAAACATTCTACAGTTGTGGCCTGTGTCAGATGCAATCAGCTTTAGTTGTCAGGATTGATATCTATATGAAGGATGCTGACCCTAGGGACAAAGTTGGGGCTCAATTGGGGAATCAGAGGTAAAAAGTTAGAGAATAATTTTGAAACATACTAATTAAGAATGGATGGAAGGATTTTAACCTCTATTGCCAATTTGGCATTGCACATCTGAACCTGTACATGTTGTATCATTGAAAAATATGGCACCGTATTGGAGACAAAGGGGCAAAGCCCAAAAGAAGGAATGGGTTCTGAGATATTTCATCTCTATTTCTAGTTGTCATCTCTGGAGCAAGTATAATTGTTATATACATTTCATTTCTCATTTCAAATCAATTTCATTGCATTTAAAACACAATTGTATTAGGCACAGGCATTGCCTATTCAAGCCCTTTCCAGGCTTATCTCACGTTATATACAATGTTATATACATTGTCCTGTATAGTATATCAGATGAAATTTTCGAAATTGTGGTGTCGAAATGCTCATGGTTTTTTTGGCATTGAGTGAATAAGCCTTAAAATGTCCACATGCAAATATTTCTTTATAGATTAATATAAAACATATAGATTTAAAAATATATAGGTTTCAGAACTATTGCCATTGTGAAATTTTCCATACTCCAATCAGTTCCAAGAGTTGCAATGCGAACATTTTCACACAAGATTGAGAATTTCTTCTTTTATAGTATAAATTGTGAATATTTAGGTCAAAAGGAAATCTGAGATGACCAGTTGACCACTACATATATAGTCTCTAGTAAGCACAAACTCCAAACTTTGCCTAGTTCAAATTAAAAAAAAAAAAAAAAGAAGATGTGATACAGGTCCAATGGACCTCTTTTAGCATTCGCCATGACGATACAAGTGTTTTTTTTTGTGATGTTCATCCCACCATTAGATAGATATTGTAGGGTTTGGAGAAGGTAAAAATAAAATTCTGAGGTTCTGATACCTCTAGAGTCCTTCAGAAAGTCTGGATCCTCCACTAATAGCTACATCATGTCTGCAATAACTTGTGATTTGGAGAGCTGTACATTTAATTAATTAATACAAAAAAACAAAAACAGGAAACATTTTAATTGATGAATGATGATGACTACAATTGCCAATATTAAATTCGATAAAAAAATTGTGATATATTTTTACAATAAAATAGGCTCATATAATTATACTAGATGTAGGTAGGTAATTGTATTACTGCAATGTAGATAATTAGATCCTTGTTCATAGAAATGTTCCACAGATGTCTGATATAATTATAAAAATATTCTAGAGTGCATATTGGAACCATTTGTCTGATCAGCTTAACAAGATGCAATTCTAATTTTTGTAAGACTATTTTTTTCAATTTCTTCAGTTTTTTCTTTTCTTTTTAACCTATAGTAGCCATTCAGAATCCCTAGATATGTACATTCAAATTTTGTTAAATGAATTCCAATATTTTGGAAAAGTAAAAGATGACACATTTGCATAAATTTGCAATAAAGCTAACCAGACTTCAAAACCTGACCCAGGATGGATATATTTGTATACACTAGCAGCCAGGAAACTTTGATTGTACAGGAAATATGCTAGATCATAGCCCTCAGCTGTTGTGTGTCATGATCTCCATCCAATGGTGTATTGAACTACATCTGTTGTGTGTCAACATGCAATTGTGTGTGAAATCACATGGCACGGATGAGTTACTTCCACAAAAGTTTCTACCATGCAGTAGTTATGTTTTCACATCTGGCAAACCAGTAAATTTTAGAAATACAAGGAGTGTATTGCTAAAAATAGAGTTGAAAGATAAGAATCTCGTGTTTGAAATGGGCAAAAAAGAATATTTAGTGTTAAGTAAGATTGGTGAAAGGTTAAATGTGAAATTAACTACACTTGTATATTACTAGACCTAAAAGTAGATTATTGCAAGGTTAATCACAATGTTTATAGGGTTAACGACCTGTGTAATTTTATTTCTTATAGTGCCGTTTATGTTTTCACCCCAAACTTTATTACTGCTATCGGTATATACAACAAAGCCTGTTTCAAATGCTGATAACACGGTTTGGATGCGGTTCATTATACGGGGTTGGATTGTGTATGTTGGGTCGTTGGCCTTATTTCAAATGCAGCTGAGAAAATAGAACTAGTACAGTCTCCAGCCTTAGTTGATTTAAATTGAAGGAACACAAAGAGGTTATGACCAATTCCTTTCTTCAGGTGTATGGACACTTACAGTTAATTAAGGATAATATAAATATGCAGTGAATCCTTCCTAATGATCGCCTGTCTATAGTGAGCACCTCTATAACTACCAGTGTGAGAATACCCTGATTGGTGTTTCCTAAAATATATTGACAACTATTCCTCAAGTCCATGTTTCTGTTCAAGCTGATTTCACTCTCTTCCTTTTAGTAGTTTGTACCTGCCACCATGCTTGTTCAATGAGCTCATCAGTTTAGAAATATGTCGATATCAAAGTTTTACTAGATACACCAAGAATGTACATATTAAACATGTTGCAACATTTCAAGCATGCTTCCATACAGGAGTGATTTAAAATAATATCTTATATAATTAATATGCTTCATTATTATTATAAAATCATAAGTTGTATCTGGGACTGTTTTTTTTATAGGTCAGTGCTTAATCCTGTGCAGTGTGTTTTTTCTCCGAAGTTGTCCTCTTGACTGCAAATTTGCTGATGCGCATAATATATCTCCAAATTAGAAAACTGATATAATCTG